AACAGACATACATAGCACACTCTCCCCAACAGCAGAATACACAACAGCAGAATACATTCTTCTCAAACCCATAGGGAACATTCCATAGGACAGACCATGTTTTAGGCCATAAACAATTCTCAATAACTTTAAAAAGATTGAAATCATACAAAGTATCTTTCCCAACCACAATGGGTGAAGCAGACATCAACAACAAAAGAAAAACTGGAAAAGTGACAATTATGTGGAAATTAAAGAAATGCTCTTAAACAAGCTTAATGGATCACAGAAGAAATCACAAGGGTATATAGAAAATACTTAGAGACAAATGAAAATGAAAACACAACATGCAAAAATTTACGGCATGCAGCAAAGGCAATGTGCAGAGGGAAATTTATGGTGATAAATGTCTATGTTAAAAAAGAAAAAAGATTTCAAGTGAATAACCTACCTTTACACTTTAAGGAAGTGGAAAAAGAAGGGCAGACTAAAGCTAGCAGACTAAAGGAAAGAATAAACATTAGAGGTAAATGAAATAGAGAATAGAAAAACAATAGAGAGGGAATAATTATACCACAAGTTGGTTCTTTAAATAGATCAACAAAAATGACAAACTTTTAGCTATAATGACAAAGAAAAAAGAAAGGTGAAAATAGTTAAAATAAAAAATTAGAAGTAACATTACTACTAATTATACAGAAAGAAAAAGAAACATAAGAAAATACTATAAACAAGTAGATACCTCTCAAATTATATGATGTAGATGAAATGATACCTGATAAAGGCATGAAAAATCCCACAGCTAACCCATACTCAACAGTAAAGAACTGAAAACCTTCCCCCTAAGAGAGGATCAAGGCAAAGACGCCTGCTTTCACCACTTTTATTCAACACAGTATTGGGAGTTCCAGTTAGAGCAATTAGGCAAGAAAAGGAAACAAAAAGCTTCCAAATTGTAAAGGAATAAGTGAAAACTTTTTCTGTAGGCATGTATGATTCTATTTATAGAAAATGCACAAGAATCCACAGAAAGCTAGGGTTAAAAGGATTCAGCAGTTTCAGGGTACAACATCAACACACAGAAGTGAGCTGTGTTTCTATAACCAGCGATGAGCAATAAAAAAAGGAAATAGCATTCGCAGAATACCAGGAAATAAACTTGACCAGGAGGTGAAAGATTGGTACGTGAAAACTACAAACACCGCTGGAACAAATTAGAGACTCCAACAAAGGGAGAGACATCCCAGGTTTGTGGATTGGAAGACTTAATATTGTTAAGATGTCAAAATGACCTTTAAAAAGAACAAAGTTGAAGGACTTTCAAAACTGTACTATGAAGTTACACATCTAGACCACAGAATAGAATTGAGAGTCCAGAAATAAACTCACAAACTGGGACCAAGGTGGCAAAACCATTCAGAGAGAAAGTCTTTGCAACAAATGCTGTCAGGACAACTGGACGTCCACAAGCACAGGTGTGTACTTTTGCCTCATGCCATGGACAAAAAATAACTCAAAATGGATCAATGACCTAAATGTAAGAGCTGGAGCCACAAAACTCTTAGAAAAGAACATAAAGGTTAAGTCTTCATGACCTCGGATTTGGCAATGGATTCTAGATATGACACCAAGAACATGAGCAACAAGCAAAAAAAAGGACAAACTGGAGTTCTTAGAAATTAAAGACTTTTATGCATCAAAGAAAGATATTATTCACAAAGTTTAAAGACAATCTATAGAATGGGAGAAAATAGCTGTAAATCATAAATCTGATGAGCCTTTAGATCCAGAATATATAAAGAACTCATAACTCAACAACAAAAAAGACAATCCAATTTAAAAATAGGCAAAGTACTTGTACAGGTATTTTTCCAAAGAAAATTTACAAATGGCTGACAAGAATATGAAGAGAGGCACAACATCATGGCATTAGGGCAATGCAAATCAAAATCACAATGAGGTACCATTTCACAATCACTAGAAATGGGTTGGATTTGTCTTTAAAGTAGAAAACAACATGGGCTAGCTAGGGAGTGGGGAAATTGGAACCTTTGTGCATTGTTTGTAGGACTGTAAATGGTTCCACTTTGGAAAAGACAGGGAGTTCCTCGAAAGTTTAATTGTGATTAAATGTAATTACCATATGACCCTGTAGGTCCACTCCTAGATACACACTGTACCATGGCCTGAATTATGGCCCTCCAGAACTCATATGTGGAAGTCCTAAACTTCAATGTGACTGTATTTGCAGTCCAAGCATTGAGAGGAGTAATTAATGCTAAATGAGGTCATAGGGCTGGGGCCCAACCTTTGTGTCAAAGGATGTGTGGTTGTTTAAGGAGGGAAGAGAAAGAGATCTCTGCGGGAACACAAAGAAGAGGCCATGTGTGCACTCAGTGAGACGGCAGGTGCCGACAGGCCAAGAAAAGTGGCTTCAGAATGAGACCAACCTTGCCGGCACTTGATGTTAGAGCTCCCAGGCTCCAGAACTGTGAGAAATAAATGTCAGTCAGCGGTGATTGGTGATGGCGGCCTGAGCCGACTGGGACAGCCAGATCAGAACACTGAGGCCCCTGCTGTGAGCCCATACTCAAGCCTGGCAGTAGCAGCAACATTCATGCAGCTCAAGGGTAGAAACAGCCCAAATGTCCACCAGCGAGCGAATGGGTAAGCAAACTGTGGGATGTATACAACATGGGACGTGTTCAGTCCTAAAAAGGAATGAGCTATTTAAAATGTGGATGAATCTTGGAAACATGATGCCAAGTGAAAGAAGCCAGACACACAAGGTCACAGCGTAGGATCCCACTGATGTGAAATATACAGGACGTATAAACCAAGACAGAAAGTCTCGACAGAAAGTCCGAGAATCTGCCAGGACCTGAAGGGAGAGGGCACTGGGGGAGAAGCTGCTTGATGAGCAAGGGGTTTTACTTCTGAGTGACGGAAATAATCTAGAACTAGAGAGAGGCGAGAGTTGAACAGCACTGTAACTGTACTAAATGGGACTGCGTCGTTTACTTTAAAATGGTTAATTTTATGTTATGTAAGTCTCACCTCAATAAAATACTTAAAAAAAGATCCAGGGGTGGCGTTCCCTGTCTTAGGATGGAGTGAACTTCCAGGAGCAGGTGATCTGAGCATGTGAGGGTGGGTGGCCACAGACGCTCCTGGCACCCTGCCCAGGCAGTCCTCCCCTGGCTGCTGTGAGAATTGAGGGTTACACCTGCCCTTGTTCCTGGAGAGCTGCCCTTGCTAAGTGGCCAGGGGGCGGAAGCCCCTTGGCCATGGAGGCTAGGCGCCATCACCTCCCCTTCCCCCTCCTCCCACATGTGGCTGACTACCACTCAAAGACCCCCTGGTCCCAAGTGGGACCAACTCTGTGGGGGCAGTTTGCCCTCCAGAGCTCCCTGGGGGCGGGGAGACCGCACCCTTGCTGCGTTCTGGCCTCCTGCCCTCTCCTGCTCCCTTCTCAGAGGGAACCTGATGCAAAATGGTTATGTAAAACTAATACTGATGGGAAATTTTTTGGTATTTGAAGGAAATCTTGATAAAGCCATTATGTCAAAAAAATACTTATTGGTCATTTACAACACCAAAGGGCTTTTTTTTTTTTTTTGGTACTTTTTATAAAGATCTTATTTATTTATTTGACAGCAATCACAAGCAGGCAGAGAGAGAGGGGGAAGCAGGGTCCCCGCCGAGCAGAGAGCCCAATGCGGGGCTTGATCCCAGGACCCTGGGACCAGGACTCGAGCCGAAGGCAGAGGCTTTAATCCACTGAGTCACCCAGGCGCCCCTTTTTTGGTAGTTTTTACAAGACCAGTGCTCTAACCACTGAGCTATGGAGCCTGCCTTTTTGGTAGTTTTTAAAAGCCCACCTCACCAAGGTAGCACATTCCTCAAAATCCCGGGTCAAGTAAATATTTTCAGTTGAAATTAGAAGTATTAGCAATTTAAAGACAGATAAACTTTGTTCTTCCCAAATAAATACTTGTTCTTTTTCATACTTTAAAGTCCGGGGCGCCTGGGTGGCTCAGTTGGTTGTGTCTGCCTTTGGCTCAGGTCATGATCTCAGCATTCATGCCCTAACCTTGCTCAGCGGGGAGCCTGCTCCTTCCTCTCCCCCATTTATGCTCTCTCTCTCTGAGAAAATCTTAAAAACCAAAAACAAAACCCACTGCAGTGGTCTCCGTGAGGGCAGAGCTGACCGGGCTCCTCACACGGCAGGTGGAGGCAGGGGCCCTCATTCGTCTAGCTGATGATCATGGCTCTCCCGGGGCTTTTTGCTCAGTGAAATCCAGACCTACAAGCACGCACATACATGCGATGTTTATGTTAATTCAAACTTTTCTAGACAAATGAAGACACCGGAAATGATGACGATGATGGGCGAGGCAATCGTACAAAGACACTACTGACCCGTGAGTCCTGGAGAGAAGTGGGGGAGGCAGCAGGGTGCCCCTCTCCCCACCCATGGGGCAGGACTCACAACAGTCCTTAAAAAAGGCAGGAAAGCATCATCTGCTGCAACAGGGGCTGGAAAGGGAAGTTCTTTGAATCCACATGGGCATGCTTCCCAGTACTGCTAAGGGTGATAGGACTCGTCACCTGTTTCCCTGGGCTTTAAAGGCAAACCTGTCCTGTGACAGGAATAGATGTCTGCTCAAAACCATTTCTGAAAAACAGTTGGTTGGGAGACTAAAGAGGAAAAAGGATGGAGGCCCCCTGAACCTGTAGGGGTGGGAACCGTGGCCGTCAGGGATTAGAAACATTCCCTTGGCGGAAAGGCAATGAGTAGGCCCCAAGGTCAATTCTGGGAGAGAAAACCCCTCAATTTCCTTTTATTGGAGAGACACACAAAGCATGTTTCCTAAAGCTCTTCCCAGCCACTGCACAAGCTGGGGAAGCTGAGGGTACTGATCTCTAATTCTGCTTCAGGGTCTACTATGCCTGTCTCGCACCAGCCAAGGGTGCTTGCTGGTGCAGACCCCACCCCGGTCCCTGAGGACAACTGTGGAAGGGTCAGGAGTTATGGGCCATGGCAGGCGGGGAGGCAAACGGAATGGGTGGGCTTGCAGGAGGCAGAGGGGACGGCCGGCAAGAATTTTTCAATTCCTAGCTGCACGGGGTGCTGATGGGAGGGTATTCCGAAGGACACCCCCACCAAAGTCCACGAGGAGCGAGGCGTCCGTCTTTGACTCAGGAAGGGGAGGGGCTCTCAGTGTTGCCACGCTGCGCTTGGTCTTGCACTTCCTCCTCCTTCTGCTCCAAATCAAAGTTCTGTGGACAAGGCTGCAGGTGAGGCCTGGCCCTATGTCTTCCCCGGGGGGGCGGGGTGTCTGACTCTTCCGGGGGAGCGTGCATGATGAGTGCGCATTTCCCGAAGGGCCGGCAGGAGCCGCTCTACTGAATTTCATTCTGCAACCCTCTGCAGAGAAGCTTGATCCCGTCTAACACTTCCCCCTGACCTACCTCAAGCTCCTGCAAAACCTCGTCCATGAAGTCCTGGGAGTTGTGTTTGTAAGACACAGCTAATCGAATCGCGTCATTGAAGAGCTGGGGGCAGGTGGCGGCGGCAGGAAGGAAGACATGGCAGTGGGTCCCAGTGCCCTGTCCCCATCATATGTCCACACAACACTCCACCCCTAAAGTCAGCAAGTTCACCCCTCGATTCACCTCCCGATCAATGTACTTTTTCTGCCAAGCCCAGGCCCATCATCTCCCCTACTGTCAGAACAAACCATGACCCATTCCTATCCCCACTCACTCTGGATCGCCCACTCACGGCCCCTGCAGCAACACCTGTCCTCTCCACCATCCCTTCTCTTCGCAGCTTCCCTGGTCCCTTAAGTACTTGGCCTTCCCTAACCTCTGCAACCCACCGTTACCTTCACGACATTGGTACCATCAGCAGCTGAGACAAAATACAGGGGAAGAGAGAACTTCCTGGCAAAATTGAAGCTCTTTTGGGTCATCTTTACGTCTGCTGTAAAGAGAAGGTAGGACATTGGCCTGTCTGTTAGGGGAAAGGGAGAGGTCGCCGGATACCATTCCAGAAAGTGGGACAGGGAGGGGCAATCAGAGGACATGTCCTAGAAAAAGTTCATTTAACAGGGATCTACGTCCTGGAAAGAGGAAAGATTGGCTCAGTTGGGATCTCTACTAGATAGAGACTGATGGAGAGCAAACAAGGGCTGTATTTTGGGAAGGAGGACAGATCACTGAAGGTTCACTGCCCCAGGAATGGAGGAGGAAATGTGTGGTGGTGGGTCCCCCATGGACGTGGACACCCAGATGCAGGGATGGCCCCACCATCAATTTTATTGGCCACCACGATGCATGGGATCTCTGGCCTGAACTCCCGAAGCTCTGTGTACCAGGTGCTCAGGTTCTTGTACGTTACTTTCCTCTGCACGTCGAACACCTGCAGTGAACAGGACGGAAAATAGCTCAGGCCATCGGGGTCTGTGCACCACCCCCGACACACACCAGCCGCTGAGCGGCCCGGGCCCGCCCTTCCCAGGGAAGCCCCCAGAACCTCTCGATCCAAAAGGTGCCTTTAAAATGTTTACTCCTTTTCTGTCATCTTGCCATCGGTGTATCTATTATCTAGGGTGTATCACTGTACGAATCAATATAGTCTGTTGCAAACTCTAAATCTTTTGTTTCTTGGTCTATGACTGGTATGACTCAAACTTTGTCTTCAGATTCCTTATGCGGGGCACCTGGGTGGCTCAGTTGGTTGGGTGTCCGACTCTTGGTTTTGGCTCAGGTCATGATCTTTGGCTCGTGAGACTGAGCCCCACGTCGGGCTCCATGCTTCGCGGGGGGGTCCGCTTGAGATTCTCCTCCTCTTCCTCTGCCCTTCCCCTCTCCACTGCCTGCACATGCTCTTTCTAAAATAACTAAATGAATCTTTAAAAAAAAATTCCTTTGTAATAACTTTAAATGCCTCCAAGATTTCCCATGGTTACTATCAGTGTACTTTTAAAAGATTATTATTTTTATTTACTTTTTTTTTTTAAATAAGGATTTTATTTTTTTGAGAGTGAGTGAGACAGTGCAAGCAGGGGGAAGGGGAGAGGGAAAGAGAAATTCAGGCAGACTCCTTGCTGAGCACAAGCCTGACATGGGGCTCAATCCCATGACCCTGAGATCGTGACTTGAGCTGAAATCAACAGTCAGATGCTCAACTGACTGAGCCACCCAGGCACCCACTATCGATGTACTTTTAATTTTGAAACTTTTGTTTAATCTCTTGTTCCTTTTGTATCTTAAACCTTTTAAAAGTAATTTTTATCTATTCTTGTTATTTGAAGGTGGTTGACATCTTTATTACTTTGGAAGTGGGGGGCAGGCGCTCAGGAGCTCTTGGTGGGGCAGCGGGCTTCCTTGTCCCCACCACGGGCGTCGGGGTGCTCAGGATGGTGCCGATTCCGCAAGCAGCAGTCACGTGCCCATCGGGCTGGTCCCTGTTCTTGCAGGTCACGTGCCTGATGCTGCGGAGGGCGGCCCTGACCTTCCGGATGGTGGTCCTTCCGCACGCGGGAGGTGGCAGGTTTTCACTGGCCGGATCTGCACGTCAGGACCACCTGTACACTTCTGCCTGCGGCCGCTGGCTCAGGCCCACAGTCTGGAGGCGAATCGGATGCTTGAAGGGAAGGAGCTGCTCGGCCTCAAGGCTCCGGGTCTGTGTGTTCCGGTTGATGGGGAAGCTGGAGCCGTTCTGTGACCACCCGCTGCAGGGGGTGGGGTGCACAGCGCAGTGGTCCCTCTCGCTGCACTGGCCGGAGCCGGAGCGACTATCTTTTATTATTGTGTGGCTTGTAATTTGATTAGCATTTTACAGTGGATAGTTTTTACCTATTTTAAAATAGCAACATGCACAAGCGCGGCAGAATCGCTCTAAGGGCAGGGGAGGCCAGGGGTCCTGACGTGCTTGGAACGACTCCCGCAGGGACGGGGCCCTCAAACCCCTGGCCAGAGCTCCTTAAAGGCCAGCCTCCTGCTTTCAGGCCCACATGGCCCCAGCACAGGGGTGGATCCAGAACAGCCCGGGGACTTGCTGGAATGGCTGCTCTCCCTTCATGGGAGTAAATGCGCCTCACCCAGCACAGGGGCCGCTCTGCATGGCAGGGGGCTTGGGGCGGCAGGTGTCGCAGCTGAGGCAGCAGGGGGTCCGCCTGGGAGGCCCTTCCACAGTACACCTAGGCCCCATATCAACAAATGACAACGTTGTCTTGAATCCCTAATAAAGACTTCTTATAAATCACACTTGTAATGAGTTTTCCGCAATCTGCTTCACACCAGCCTGCCTCCCACGATCACCATCAGTCACCTTTCGTCCAGGTCTGATCTTGTTTTGAGAGCTGAGGAACAGTTGGCGGGGCCGAGGAGCAGCCCCGTCCAGTCTCTGAGTGGAGCTCCCGCTGGGACTATCGGATCCCACATAGTCACTGCAAGGCGAGCACTTTCTACCTGCCAGGCCCCACGCAGCAGACAGCTGCACTGAAAGGCATGAAGGAATGCCGGCAGGACAGACGGCCCCAGGCGTCAGAGGAGGGTCCAAATGGAGCCGATGGAGAGGTGTCCGAGGTGGGGTGGGTGTTCCTCCCAGAGAGAGAGTGGAGTTAAGCGCAGAGCTCCAAACGCCAGTGCAGAAGTGGGACAGACATGGCTGGGCTCTCCCCTCCTGCTTCTCCAGGGTCAGAGGCATTGACCATGTGAGCCTCCAGGTGGGACTGCTGGCCTGCGCTGCCCCCCGTGCTGTACCCAGTCGCCTTCTCGTTCTGTCCTCTTACAGGTACTAATATTACAATTTGGAAATTGTCAAGAGATTTTGTGTTAAGGGATAAGGGAGCTGGAGAATGGAGCCAGGGCTCTGGGCAGGGGGCCCTACGCACACAGGCTTGTACAGCTCTCCCGCACTTCTTTAGCTCTCCCTCAGGTCCTCGTATGGGAGTTTTTACCCTGCGGCCATGGGGAGCCCCCGAAGACTGGGTTTTAGACAGCACAGAGGAGAGGGGCTCGTTTGGGAGCAGGACCAGGTGATGGGGCCGAGGGGACCTTGGAAGCCTGTTGGAACAGGTGGCTCCCACCAGGGAAGGACTTTCCTTGCCTCTTAGATGCCAAGCCCAATGCAGAGGCCCTGGAGGTGCTCCACCCCTGGATGGGGGTCCCTCATCCAGCCCCACTTGAAGAGAAGCTCACCTGGGCATGTTCTCACTCTGGAACCTCCCCAGGCTGCCCTGATCCCCTCTCTCCCAGTACCCAGCCTTAGTGAGGCGGGCTCAGCACTGCTGGGTCACCCTGCAAGCTTCACAGAGCCTTTGTCCACTGCCCGGTGGGTCTCATACCATGATGCAGGCGTGGGCCTTGTGGTAGTAGGAGGCGTGCATACTCTGGAACCGCTCCTGGCCTGCCGTGTCCCAAAAGTCTGCAACAGGAACACAACTCTATCTGGTACGGCTGGAGGGCAGAGAGACCCGGACACACAGAGCATCTCTGCGCAGATCTGTGTGTGCAGGGACACAACACGTGGGACGACAGGGAGGAACAAAGTCCGCAGAGCTCACACGTGTGCGTCATCAGGACACGATGCACCTGGGGGTGCCACGGAAGGTCTGTGTACGTGTGTGTGCATGGCAGTGAGTAAGAGGGAAACATGTGGCCAGGCCAGGAGGAAGGAGCATGCAGACAGGAAGTCCTGAAAGGGAGAAAGCAGGTTTCCCCGTTCTCCCACCCCCAAGATGCAGAGCCCTTCAAGGTCGAACTACGCTGACTTCCCATGTGTGCTGGCCACCGATGGTAGACACAGCCAGGCAGGATGCGTGGCCTAGCCAAGCAGGAGGCGGTGACGTCACAGAAAGTCAAAACCTTTTGTGGAAGGTAATACTCAGACCACAACTGTTATTTCTTTCCACTGGTTGATTAGAATACCAGGTCAGAGAGCTGGACCGAGGCCTTGTGCACCTCCTCCCCTGTTGCCTGGGCTCCAGGATCCCAGGCTCCTTCCTACCACCCCTGCTCTCTGCTGAGGGTCTCACTTCCTTCCTGCCTCTCTCCCATGGACTTCTCTCCCCTCCCCTCTCCTCTCCCTCAAGAGTCCATGGCCTGGCCTGGTGCTGCTTACCCACAAGGACTGTCTTGCCATCCACTGTGGCTGTGTGCTTGTACAGGGTCAGGGCGTACGTGGACAGCTGCTGCGGCCGACTGCATTCAGGTTAAGGAACAGAGATGAACAAAAGGCAGGCAGGGAAGGTGCTTGGGGTGGGGGCACTGGAAGATGAAACTGGCCCTCTCCTTTTCTTTCTGGAGTTCTTCATATTTTAAACTGAATGAATGTTGCAGACAGAGGATCAGCTTCAAACATCATGGGCACAAACTCCCTGGGAAGGCGAGGGGCAGGCGACGCTGGGGTGTGTCCTGGCTGTCTAAGTACCGGGGACAACACAGAGTGGAATTTTACAGAGAAGCCGTCACCAACAGTATCATGTAGGCTGCCCTAGTTCCTTATGGATGGGGCTCCAACAGGCCCAAGAGGAGACCCAGACTTAGGCAGCATGTGACCATTCCAGGAAAAAAGCCTCCAGAAGCCAGACAGCTGACAAGCTGTTTATGAACGGCCTGTGTGTGAAACCCTGACAAAATCCTGGGGAATGAGACTTCCCGAAGCTGCGAGGGGCGGGGCGGTTTAACCAGGAAGCCGGAGCAGCGGGCGGGCGGGTGCGAAGGGGCACGTGGTATGAGGTGAAGCGAGATCTACTCAGACTCCTGGGGGTGGGGGGGGGGCAGGACCCAGGGCAGGGAGGAGGGTCACTCCAGGGTTCTTTCCTGCCACGGTTCTCCGTAGATCCACCCGGGAAGCTTTTTAAAACCATCCTGGCTGCCAGGGAGTGTCTCCCTCCAAACCCAGTGCGGACAATCCACGGGAGTAGGGCGCAGGTCCTGTTTTACAAAGTTCATTCCCACCAGAGAAGTGTGAAATGTCAGCCCAAGTTTTGAGGTCGGAGAGGCTACCAGGGCTCATGAGGAGGAGGAGGTGGAGTTTGAATCCAGGTACAAAAGCTGGAGCTACAGCCATCCTACTCTCTTCCTGATAGAAAGCAAATGCAGACGTCAGGAAGCTCCAAAGTACGCAGCGCCCATCCTGTGCGGGCCGCGGGCGAGACGCGAGCATGGACGGACCCCGGGCACTCACTCGCCTACCTCTCCCTGGACCTCAGCAGCTAAGTGGCGCACAGTGAGGCTGAGGGGGCAGGAGGGGGAAGGGTCACGGGACAAGGGCTCCGCACACCTTGAAGGATACAATCCATCCATGAGAAACCTCTCCATGAGTCTGCAAGGACAGTGCGCAAGGTGGTCAGGCACACGCTCCAAGCCCCCTCCTCCGTGCCCCAAGGCATCACCCCATCCAGGCTGACAACGTAGGGCCACCTGTGGCTCCCCTCCCCCATTCACTCCACAGCCACGGAGCTGCCTTTTAGGACAATGCCCAGGAACTGCCCACGTACCCTCTTCCTGGCTCCCCTTAAGGCCCTGGCCCCCTTTAGCTGTAACACCCATCCAGCACCCACAGCTGCTTTGCCTGAGGGCAGGGACTCCACCTTCCAGGGCAGACACAGCCAGACAGGACGCACACTTGTAATGACCACCAACAACTGGTCACTACTATGAGCTGAAGAAACAGAGACCTGTCTTTGGAGCTTTGCCATGTGTCTACACTGTAGAAGTCTGTGTGAACCATAAACTCAATAAATCTAAAAGTGAGTTTCTTTAACCCACTAACCCTGTCCCTGCCCCTGAATTATCCAGTTAGTGGCATCACCCCATTCTCCAAGCCTGGAACATGGAATCAGAATTAACACCCCTCATAATAAAACAGCCGACGTCATACACGTGTGTACGGAAGTACACGTGCGGCTCCTGGACCACCGTCTCCGCATCTGCGCGGTGCTGACAAACACTCTTACCCCTGCTTCTTCATGCGAAACTGATGCCAGGGAGGCTGGCCTTTCACCCGAAAACCATTTCCCTAACGTTCTGCAGGTCCTTCAGGGCTTCGCTCAAATGTCACCTGAGCAATGACACCCTCCCTGATGATTTTATTTGTGACAGGCAAGGTCTAGCTCTCCTTGTACTCTATCTCTGCCCTGAGCGTAATCACAACAGAGACAGTCAGTATTTTACTTACTGACAGTCTATTTCTCTCAACTAGAATGGGAGACCCATGAAAGAAATTTATGAAATTTTAGTTGATTGCTGCATACCCAGTGCCTAGGACAAAAAACATTTGGAATACAGCCACCATGCAAACACCACAGGAGAAACAGTAGCCTGCGTGGAGAGCTTAGACTCCCACTCTTTGAGGACATAATGAGGTGCCTCAACAACATTACCAAGATGCACTGGGGTCAAAGAAGGCCAAACAGGGAGCTAGAACTTTCCACCCTGCCAGAGGGCGATGAGACCCCTGCCCCCACTGCATGGGGCCCCCGGAGACCACAGTGTTGCCTCTGCCCCTTCTGCTGAAGCAATGCCACAGGAAGCCAGACAAAACAGAAGGGTTGAATAAGATCCAGAGTCTCATAACAGGATATTCAAAATGTCTAAGTATCAACTAAAAATCATTTACTGTTTAGAATCAGGAAGATCTTAAAATGAATGAAAAAAGACGATCAATAGAAGTTTTTTTTTTTTTTTTTAAGATTTTATTTATTCATTTGAGAGAGAGAGAGAGAGAGTGAGAAAGCATGAGAGGGAGAGGTCAAAGGGAGAAGCAGACTCCCTATGGAGCTGGGAGCCTGATATGGGACTTGATCCCAGGACTCTGGGATCATGACCTGAGCCGAAGGCAGTCGTTTCACCAACTGAGCCCCCTAGGTGTCGTCAGTAGAAGTTTTAAAAGCCGCTGTCATAAGCAAACGAGTACGGGGCACCTGGGTGGCGCAGCTGGTTACGTGGCCGACTCTTGGTTTCGGCTCGGGCTGTGATCTCAGGGTCGTGACATCAAGCCCCGCACTGGGCTCTGTGCTCAGCGCAAATCTGCTTGGAGTTTCTCTCTTGCTCTCTCTGCCCCCCCACCCCCCACTGTGAGCACGCGTGCTCTCTAATAAATAAATAAATCTTAAAAAAAATGAACAACTACAATGTGCTTGAAAAAAATGAAGATACAAAAAGTTTAAAAAATGGGCCAATTCATAAAAGCACAAATAAACAAAACTAACCTAATAATAAACAGATCATTTGAATAGTCCTAGAACTATAAATCTCTAAGCCCAGATAGTTTTAGGGTAGATTTCTACCAAACACTGTAAGAATTAATATCAATTTTGTACAACCTCCACCAGAGAAGTGGAGGCAATTTGTTTTAGGAAGTCAGTTTATCCCAGTATCAAACGATAGTACAGAAAAACAACTCTATAGACCAAGATCTTTCATGAATATAGACACACAGCATTAACAAAATATTAGCACATAGAACTTGGGAATGCGCAACAAGAAGATGTACACCATGACCAAGTATGATTTATTTCAGGGGTGCAAGGCTAGGTCAGTACTTGAAAGTCAATCAATGTCTTCTCCCGCAGTAACTGGCTAAAGAAGAAAAGTCACAGGGTCATGTCGATCGATGGGGAAAATACATCTGAAAAATATGATGCCTGTTCATGATAAAGCAGACAAAGAAAGAAACAAGAACAGAGGGGAACTAGTACACTGAAAAGTGTAAAATACCGGTGAAAAATATTAAGGAAGATCTGAATAAATGGAGAGACATACCATGTTAATAGACTGGAAAACTCAATATAAACATGATGTCGATTCTCCCAAAAGTGATATACAGGTTTAATGCAATGTCCACTAAAATTTTAGCAAGAGGTTTTACAGGTATTATCAAGATTATGAACAATTTATGTAGACAGGCAACACAGCTTTAAAAAAGCTAAAACAAACTTGAAAAAGAATAAAGTGGGAAGAATCATTCTAACCAATCTTAAGACTTACTATGGCTCCCTTAGTCAAGACTGTGTGGTGCTGGTGGAGGGACAGACACATAGATGAATGGAACAAAAGAAAGAATCCAGAAATAGCCTCACAGAAGTAGAGCCAACTGATTTTTAGCAAAGGTGCGAAAGCGATTCGATGGAGGAATAACAGCCTCTTCAACGAGTGATGCCAACTGAGTATCTGTAAGGAAAAAACAAACCTTCACCCTAAACCCTCACACCTTAAACAAAAGGTAGTTCAAAACTGATCACAGACTTAAGTATAAAATGTAAAAATATAAAACTTTTAGAAGAAAACATAGGAAAAAGATCCTTTGAAGTCAGGGCTTGGTGAAGATCAAAGTCCATGACTCTGGTAAACCAAAAGCATGACCCATAAAACAAACAAGTGGCAAACAGACTTCATGAGAAGTGAAACCTTCTGCTTTATGAGGAAGCCTGTAATAAGACAGCGGGAAGACAAGCCCTAGATGGGAAGGACATGTCTGCGAATAGCAGATTCAACAAAGACCGGTTTCTGGGAAAATAAAGAATTACCAAAACTCTATAGTTAAAAAAAAAAACAAAAAACAACCCAATAAGAAAATGTCCAGAAGACATGAAGAGACGTTTAACCAAAGAGGAATGTACAGACGCTCTAGAAAACAAATCAGTTTCTTTTTTTCTTTTTTAAAAGATTTTATTTATTTATTGGACAGAGAGAGACAGGAAGAAGAGAGGGAAGACAAGCAGAGGGAGTGGGAAAGGGAGAAGCAGGCCTTCCGTAGAGCAAGGAGCCTGATGCAGGGGTTGATCCCAGGAACCTGGGATCATGACCTGAGCCGAAGGCAGACACTTAACGACTGAGCCATCCAGGCGCCCCTGGATTGAGTTTCTTAACAAATGAAACATATACTCACTGTATGATCAACCCACAAAATTAAAACTCATGTCTATGCAAAAACCCACACACATGTTCAGAGCAGTTTCATGTGTAATAGCCAAGACCCAGAATCAACTGAAATGCCACTTAACAGGTGACTGGAACAGTCTAGAAGACCATACTGTGGCCATCTACACTATGGAATGCTACTCAGCAACAAAAAGGAACAAAGTATTGATAGTGCAACAACCTGGATGGGTATTAAGGGCACTGCTCTGTGGAGTGGAGAAGGTCACGGATTGTGTAATTGTACTTATACAATGTTGCCAGGAGAACAGGATTATAGAGATGGAGAAAAGATTGGTGGTTACAGGGGTTAGTGGTGGTGGGAAGTGAGGTGGGGTGGGGTGACTAAAATGGGTAGCATGACTGAAGTTTGGTATCTTCTTTAAGGGAAAAAAAGCAAACAAAAACCGCACAGACAGGGAGAAGATATATGCAATGCCAACAACGACAAGAATATAAAGAAAATATAAATGGCTGTTACGAGAACACACAAACAACCTGTGTACTAAGAATATGAAGAGATGAACAGGTAACAGATCTATGAAAAGATGCTCAATGTTTAAATTCAGTGATTTGATCATTTTAATACAGACTGGCAAATTTCAGGAAGTCATAGTATACGGAATGTTGGGGATTTTGTAGAGCGACAGAAACTCTTACACTGTGCTGGCAGCAGTGTAAATGTGACAGAACTGTTTTGGAGAGCCATTTGGGTATCTTAAAGTTTGAACTAGCCCTAAAACTAGGCCATTTCCCCCCAGGCCAAAGTGTACCCAAGATGGTAGGTGTGAAAATATTCACCTCAGTATTGGGTTTAATATCATAAATCATAAAAAATTAATATCATAAAAATGATAACATCATAAATGTTCTGTTGTGAATAGACAAATAATTTTAGCACAAACTAGTTAAAACAAATTTACTGAGTGCTTACCACTGGCCAGACACTATGCCAGGTGCCGTGACACCGGGCAAACCAGATGGAGATCCCCGTGTTCACAGAGCGTACACTGGAGCAGATGAAGACAGACAACAAGGAAGCCCTCAAAACAGACTCAGCCACATGTGTAGCCCCTGCATTTAGAACAAAGGCGTCACTGTGACTCGGTGGGGTTGAGAACTGTTTCATCAATTAGTGGTGTCCAAGCGGCTGAATATCTGTCGGGAAAAACAAATCTTCAGGCTGTTTAATGCAATGGTGGAGCAGGAAGTACAGGGGGTCAGCCCCCAACTGATCTATCCAGTAAACTGGAAGAATGGATCAGAATCAACCATTTCTGAACTCTGGAACCTGCCTGGACACAGCACACGGGAGGGCATATGTAAAAGCAGATGCTGAGCCCAGCTGGAAGAGCAGCACAGACCAAGCAGTGGCCACCAGCCACTCCTTAGGCCGGCTGCACT